TACGACGGCTGTTCGCAACGGGACGTCAAAATCGTCATCGGTGACATGAAAGCTCAGGTAGGACGGGAGGCAATGTATAGACCGGCAATCGGGCCAAACAGCCTGCATGCCGTATCGAACGACAACGGCCAACGATGCGTGAAATTTGCAGCCTCTCGGGGTATGGTAGTTCAAAGTATCTTTTTCCCCCGCAAGGATATTCACAAAGCCACCTGGAGATCACCTGACCAACACACAGAAAACCAAATCGATCACGTTCTAATCGACAGGAAATTATTCTCCGACATTATCAACGTCCTCACGTACCGCAGTACGAACATAGATTCGGACCACCACCTAGTTGCAGTATGCATGTGCTCAAAACTCTCGACGGTGCATAACACCCGTCGAAGTCGAACGCCGCGACCCAACATTGAGCAACAACGGGACGCCGGAGTTGCCCAGGACTTGTAACCTGCGTGTTACAATTTATCCCGTTTTGTGTAGTTTTGCCGCCGAGTGTAATATTGCCGTGTTTCACACGAGCGTATGCCGTGTTTGTTATGCTTTGTTTTTGTTGTCATTGCACGGCCGGCGACATACTCACCACTATGCCTTCGAGAATAATTTTAACTTGTAAATCTTGCGCGTTATTTTATTCGTTTTTTGTTGTTGTTAGTTTAGTTCTATAGGGAAAAAATATCGTTTTAAAATGTATCGCGTCCCAAATAAAATTAGGCCCTTAAAGCTCCTCCCGCTGCAAAGAAGGCGAAAACATAAAAGCAGAACAGTCGAGCGTGGTTGCAGGAGCGATGGCGGTTTGTTGTTTTTGGTAATTGTGACGTTGTGAAAAAGGAGAACAATTCGAGCCACGGTGGAGTCTACGCGGGTTTTTCGTTCGGAGACGTTTTTTCCCTTAGTCCCGAGAAACCGGACTTTACCTGGGAAAAGTTTGCCCAGCCGTGACGCGAATGCCAGTACGCATCTTTCCAGTTCATCGCGAGTGGAAGCCGGCCCCGTGGCTACGAAAATTAATGTTGTTGAGTGCAACAGAGTGTCGGATCGCCATTGTGGGAAGCTAAACACTAAGGAGCTAATCACCTCCCCCGGCTAACCATAAAGGATCCGGTTGACACTCGCCGTCCTGACTGCGGTGGCTCAGCCAATAGAGCCAGTCTCGCCACCGCAGTTAATCGTCATGCAGGACGAAGCAGGCGATACCAGAGGTGAGTTCGCCTGGGCAGAAACACTGCGGTGTCTGCCGGGGTTGCCTACGGCGAGTAGGCAATTCGGTAATTCGTCACCAACGTCACCGGGGTGGTTTCAACAGACGAGTCCAGCTCATCCCCCCACTAAGTGTTAAGGACAGCTGCTAAGCAGCCCACGAAGCAAACCGCTCATCACAGTCCGTGCTTTGTAGCAGCAGAACCGCCGCCAGACCGTCATCGAAGGGCCCCACCGAACAGCAGTAGCAGCAGCGAAGAGGAGAACACAGATACGTAAATAATAGACGTCTTAAATTGAATTTTCTTTTTGTTGTTTTGTTTCACCCAAATCCGAACGAAGGGAAGTACCCTTGCTCGAGACCACCCCGCCGGTGTAAAATCAGGCCAGCTATAGGCTGGAATGTACGCTTCCACTAACAGACTACGCGCAGCAGCTGAAAGTTGCACTACCCACGAAAGAGCAGCTTGGCGCAGCTTCTCTTGAAGATGGCTGGAGGGACATCCGTTCCGCCATAGGTAGTACTGCTGCAGCGAATGCAAACTGTTAGTAGAGGAGAAGAATGCTGTAACTCCGCACGAGATTGAATGTGGAGCGATACAGACAAGCGCGGAACAGACAAAACTCGGTTTTCCGAAGGAAGAAGCGTCAGCAGGAAAACCGAGATCGCGAGGCGATGGACAATCTGTACCGCGTAAACGACACACGGAAGTTCTGCGAGAAGGTAAATAGTTCGCGCAAAGGCTACGTGCAGCAAGCCGATATGTGCAAGAACTTGGACGGTAACCTTCTCACGAACGAGTGTGGGGTTATTGAGAGGTGGAAGCAGTACTATGACGAGCACCTGAACGATGATGCAACAGCAAACGAAAGTGGCACTGCAACAGACCTTGGAGCACACGCAGAAGACGACAGGCTACCGGCCCCTGATCTTCAAGAAGTTGATGAGGAGATAGGTCGGCTGAAGAACAACAAAGCAACTGGTGTAGATCAAGTACCAAGTGAGCTATTAAAATACGATGGTGAAGCACTGGCTAGAGCGCTGCACCCCCAAAGTAAGATTGCAGGTTTTATTGCGGTTTTATAGCATTCTACAAGTCTAAATCATTGTCTACAGAACCCTCATAAAACCAAAATTGTTACTTGGGCCGGGTAATTGCCAAGATTTGGGAGGAGGAGATATTACCGGAGGAGTGGAAGGAAGGTGTCGTATGCCCAATCTACAAAAAGGGTGACAAGTTGGATTGCTGCATCTACCGCGCGATCACACTGCTGAGCCGGCGCTCAAGGTACTACAAGGTACTCTCCCAAATTCTATGCCGCCGCCTGTCACTATTTGCAAGAGAGTTCGTGGGGCAATATCAGGCGGGATTCGTGGGTGCCCGCGCTACCACGGACCAAATTTTCGCGATTTGGCAGGTTCTGCAGAAATGCCGTGAATACAACGTGCCCACACATCATTTTTTCATCGATTTCAAATCCGCATACTGACGCGATTGGTCAAGGTGACGATGGATCGAGTGATGTGCGTTGTTCGAGTATCGGTGACACTCTTGAGTCCCTTTGAAACTCGAAGGGGGTTACTTCAAGATCTGCTGTTCAACATCGCTTTAGAAGGTGTGATCAGAATAGCTAGGATAGACACGAGTGGCACGATCTTCACGAAGTCCATCCAGCTCCTTGGTTTCGCCGATGACATTGACATTATGGCACGGAACTTTGAGACGATGGAGGAAACGTACATCAGACTGAAAGCTGAAGCTAGGTGGATTGGTCTTGCCATCAACGCATCAATGACAAAATATGGGAAAAGGCTTTAATGTTGGCCTTTGGATCTAAGATTGAGCCCATCACTAAAATTCTGCTATTTATCAATTTTATCTAGATGAACGCGTCATTGGGACGGTACCAATGGATATTTTTGGTCACTATTGAAAATTTAGTCGATTGCTGAATTTATGTATGGGCCTAAATTAGGAGCATTTAGGCCGACATTATATCCATTTCCCCTACATGAAAGGAAGAGGTTCTAGGGAAGACAATGTTAGCCTCCCACCCCGAGTTCAGATTGGCGGTGACGAAATCGAGGTGGTCGATGAGTTCGTGTATTTGGGCTCACTGGTGACCGCCGAAAATGATACTAGCAGAGAAATTCAAAGACGCATTATAGCAGGGAATCGTGCCTACTTTGGACTCCGGAGGACGCTTTGGTGTTTTCGAACGGAAGGTGTTGCGTACCATCTACGGTGGAGTGCAGATGGATGACGGAACGTGGAGGAGGCGAATGAACCACAAATTGCACCAGCTGCTGGGAGAACCATCCATCATCCACATTCCAAAAAATGGGCGACTACGATGGGCTGGGCACGTCGTGAGAATGCCGGACGACCCAGTGAAAATGGTTCTAGAATGCGACCCATCAGGAACAAGAAGAAGAGGCGCGCAGTGGGCAAGCTGGATCGACCAAGTAGAAGGCGACCTGCGGACCCTTCGCAGACTACGAGGCTGGCGAAGTGTGGCCATGGATCGAGTAGAGTGGAGACGACTTCTTCGGACAGCAGAGGACAACAAGGCCTTAGCCTGATTGGTAAGTAAGTCAATTTATTAAATCAATTTATAATATTAACTGAAATAGACTGAAGTTGAGCTAAATGAAAAGAATTGTAGTTTGCATCTTGTATGCAAGTCAGTTTCCGACGCGTAAAGAGGTTAGCGATAACGTATTGCTTACGTAGCTTCTCCGAAGGGTTTCACTATTCGTGTTTTCGTTACTCCTATAGAAAAAAAACCAAATGGGATAACATTTTTAAGCAGGATTTAAAAGGCATTTGATATAATTACTAGCCTTCATTAATTACCCTGGAATTCTCAGTAATCTTAGAAATCTAAATTACTTAAGATTTCTGAATTGGCTTAGAAGTTCAAAATTCTGAGTAGAGTTCCATCATAACTCTGATGTATTAGAATTTTGAAAAGAAATCGTAGAAAATTCTTAAGAAGAGTTTTAAGGAACGGTGATGATAGATTCAAGGAATTGCTGGGACCTTTTGTAAGGAAATTTGAGAAGATTTCAATGGATTTGCGGAAGAGAATGTATGAGGGAATCGTGAGGATAATTTCAATGGAATTCTGTCGAATTTTTCTATTGAATTCCGAGATGAATTCTAATGACATTTTGAGGAATTTAAAAAGAATTCTGAGAGAATAACATTAGCAATTAGTTTGGAAATACTGAAAAGAATTCCAAGATAATTCTGACCTTACTCAGTGATTGTTCACTTCCGCTAAGAGATACACCTACCGTTTCAACTTACCTCAGTGTACCTTATCACTGGGAATACGTGCAGTCCATGATCCTCTGCTGAAGGCACCGATGGTGTTCGAGAACCCGATCGAGCCGGTGATGATTGAGCGATGGGTTACTGACTTGAGTGTCCACAAACGTCAAGCTAAGTGACAGAGGAATTAGCACTTCCATTGATTTTACACTATGATCATGGGATTGCTGGTAGTGTAGTGGGGGGTTTTCATCACAGAGGCTCTATCTTCGAGAGTGCAATGGGTTCGCATAGCGATGGATAACTGTATTTACTGAACTTATAAATAAATACTCTCACAATGCATTTTGCACCAACCTTTGGCATATAAGGCAACTTAAACACCCCGTCAATTCGCAAACCACAAAACATCCTCGCGTGATAAATGCTGATTGCCCTCGCTCGCTAACGAGTTTTCCATTAGCCGCGACGCCACAAAACCACGTTTCTGTGAAGACACACCTCAGTCAAACTGCAACCATGATACGGCCACTGCTGATACTATCCCTGGTGCTACCGCTGTCCAAAGCATTCAACTGGACTGCAACCCTTTGCCCAGCCCAGTCTCCGCTCATCGACGCCACCATAGCCATCATCAATCAGTTCTTCACGGCCGAGTCTGACCACCTGTACTTTCGCCGGCGGGCGACCGACAAACGCAATGTCCTCATCCAGTACGATTTGATCAGTGAAATTTTGCCCCGGATCGAGCTGGAGATTTTAGTACAACTGGAGACGATCCAGGCACAGGTGTTGAACCAGTCCCGAATACACAATGTGTTCTTCGTAGATGACTACGAAGCATTCGGTCAGATCAGCGACAAAATGAGAATCCGAACGTACGACTACACTGGGTACTTTCTGGTCATCGTGACTGATTCATCTGAGAATAGCTTCAACACGGTGCAGCAGATCATGGATGAACTGTGGTCACACTACGCCGTAAACGTAGCCGTCCTGTTGACCTACAAGGACGCCCCAGGGATGGCATACTACTACACGTTCTTTCCGTTCGGAAAAGGTTATTGCGAGAAAGTGCAACCATTGCTGTGGAAGATTTTCAGAGACGGTCGTTTCGAAAACCCTTCCAGGCAGTTCTATCCAGAAAAGATGAAGAACTTCTATGAATGTTCGCTGAAGGTGGCTACTTTTGACATACCTCCATTTATGATGCTGGTATATGGAACCAATGGGAAAGTTTCACATCTCGATGGGATCGACGGAATCGTTACGCGAGTCTTGAGTCAGAGGCTAAACTTCACTCTGGACGTCGTCGTTGTGGATCCTCCCGATTGGGGTGTAACAGAAATGCTCGGCAACAACACTGGAGCTTCCCGGTACGTGCGAAAACGACTTGTGAACTTCACCGTCGGATACTGGTCCATGACCTATCGCAGAAATCGCTACTTGGGCAATACTTTCACCTACTACACGTCTCTCATGAGCACCATCATACCTCCAGGTGAACCGTACAGCTCCCTTGAACAACTAGCGCTACCGTTCAAATACATCATTTGGTCCTGCATTGGCACGATTCTCCTGATTGCAATGATTGTAATAACCACCATCAAATTCCATAGTAGTATCGTCCAGCACTTCGTTTTCGGACGCTTCATATCAACTCCCGTGCTGAATACTTTCAATATCTTTTTCGGTGGATCACTGCACCGTTCACCGGTTCGGAACTTCTCCCGTACCCTGCTTGCGTTCTGGCTCTTCTATAGCATCTTAATTCGCACTTCCTACACCGGATCCCTGTTCAAGTTCCTTCAACTTAAACCGAACAAAAGTACCCCGCAGATCATACCGAATTTCATCGCCGCTGGTTATCACATCCGAATGACTCGCAACTTCAGCTACATGTTCGACGCGTTCCCTGACGTTGTTCCCCATCTTCAACAGTCCAATCTTACCCATTTCCACGCCATAGAAATTGATGAGCTGCAACGACCGACCACACGCTACGTACTTCTGGCTCCGATTGAAACGATTGCCTATTTGAACCGGAATCTAACCAAACAAGGCAAGCTACTTCGGGTGAGCAGAGATCGGGTGTATTTGTCCAAGCTAACCATCTATACCCAACGTTCGGCACCGATTCTGCATCCGTTCAACTACATCCTGGGACAGCTAAATGCGGCCGGACTGATCGACCAGTGGGCTTCGGCTTTTTCGCAAACTGTATTCCTGAAGGATTTTATCGAGAACAACGAACCGAGTAGATTGACCGTTTCGCAGATAACCGGATGCCTGGAACTGTTGGCGTTCGGGCTGGGATTGAGTTGTACACTGCTCATCGTGGAGTGTCTTGCGGACAAATGGAAACGAGGACACCGGCGACGGGTGACTTTTGTTCTCTGAAGGCTGGATTGAGCAGTTCCACGCCAATGACGAATCGTAAAAGCTCGTCGATCTTCTCCGATTTGCATGAAACTATGCATTATTGTTTGTTTATGGGCCATGTTACACATTTTTGCTATTTTTGTAAAGTTAAAATTTCAAAATAAATACATAATCATATATATATCAAAATGTCCTTGTCCGAATTTTGAAATTTTGTTTTTAAGAAACAGCTCATGAAAAATAAAAACTTTTTAAATGCCGATGATGCAGTCGATGCTGACCAAGGAATTCGATCTGCAGATACAGTGGATACAGGCAACCAGGATGATCAACTATTGAGTCGATCGATACGGGACTATGACTTCTTTCAGGAACCAAGAGCACTCAACTTGGAGCATCTTCTGAGGTCATTGGTGATAAGTGAGAGGGTATTTACAGGGGTAGTGCTATCGATTCAGCATCGTAATACCTCCGGCTTATTTTCCATACCAAATATTGCTAACGATCATATATCTTTGCTCTATATCGGACAGTGATATGCGCGAATTAGCGATGCGTTGCCATTGTGGCCTATTCATGGCTTATTATGGGTTACTTTATTCACTACAAATGTATTAGTCCGAACATCCTGCTCATCGTCGCGCCCTCAATAGCTTCCTCATCCTACTGCACCTGACGGAAGCCAGTTCCAGTCCAAAAACTGCCCCACTCAATCCCAGCATGACGCCACAAATCTCGTAAACCGCCGATACGTGCTCCCAACTCAGTGGCTTCGGCTCCGATCCTTCCTTCACCTTTCGGAAGAAGTCGTAATCCCCGTACCTGTTAATCCAGTAGCTCATCAACCCGGAGGCTTGAATCCTCAAAATCTCCTCGTCGAACCTTTGCGTCAACATGGACCCTTTGGGATAGTAGATTGTCACCGTATAGGTAGAGACATATTCCCGGCAGACATGTACGGATCCTCCCTTCCGGCGGTACAAATGGTTGTGGTGAGCCATGTGGTCCAAAGCACCCATCACAACATCCGGTGACTCCGGATGTTGCATCATCCATTTCAACCGGTGCACGATGTTGTTCTTCTCCTGCGACAGATGTCGAACTCGTCGATACCGATGCGGAAATGCTTCGTAGTAGCGTTCGGCGCTTTCAACCACGTAATAGCGGGCATCAGTTCTATCGATTTCGGCCATGGTCTTTGGCGGTGGTAGGGTTGAATCCTCCTGAAGGTAGCGAAATAATGCTCCCTGGTAAAGGGATTGCAGTACATAGCAGAAGTAGATCCAGAAGAATAGAAGCGTCCGAGCAAAGTTTCTCGTGGGCAGAAGCCCCATTCCTTCGGCGAAGAATACCCGAAACAGGTTTTGATACGGAGTCCGTATTCGTCTTCCGTAGACGAAATTACGTACGTTTGGGTCAGCAAACTCGATGGTAGTTATGACCAGCGTTGCTCCCAGAAGTATTCCGGCAATGCACCACCACAGTTCACCTTCAAAGGGGTGGAATAGCTTCTCCAGAGCAGTGTACGGGCGACCTTTGGGAACGGCCAATACCAACACGGTAGTGTAGTGAGCGATTCCTGCCTTTAAAATATTATTCCTTGCCACAGAAATCCCCAAACATGAAATCCCGAAATCTACCTCCCCCTCCTGGATCATGCGCATCATTCCGGTACTGTTACTCTCCAGAGCATAGCCCCACTGTTCACCGTTCTCAGGTTCGTAGATGTTGACTCTGTAGTTTAGCTTTTCCTTCAACGTATCCAGCAGATCACCTTCGAAGCCACTCATGCTCAATTCCCCTGCTATCGAACGATCCATGATTGTGAAAGGACGGGTCTCAAACGATCCTACTTTGAACGGACAGCCGTAAAAGTTCTCCGTTTTGTCTGGGTAGAACTCGTCGATCGGGTGCAACTTGACCAAACGCACTCTTCCGCAGCTTCCACTGGAATACGGTTTGTACGTCCACAGCAAAGCTTCCTCCTCGCCCAAGCCGACAATCACGACATTGACCACCTGCAACTTCCATAGATCTTCAAACATTCGTCGTATAATCGTTCCATCTGTTGCGGAATTGACGACGATCAGGTACCTCCCAGAAAAGTCGTTCTGCTCGACGGATAAGTTTGTGTAGAGTTTTTGGAACGCTTCATAGCCATCGACGAGCAGAACGTTTTGGATCCAAGATCTCCGTTGAACTTGGTTCGTGAGTACATTGAATCGAACTGGGATCGAACCGCTCAGTCGAGCGATGATCGCGTCCAGAAGATCCCCAAGCAGTTGTTCAGCTTCGAAGTTTGAGGCTTCCTGAGCGATCCACGCTGCGGTGAACGGACCCTGAAAGCTATGCAGAAGAACTTGGGAGGCAGTATCCACCAACGGAGATAATGGGGTATTGCCGGACAGCAGCGCCTGAACTATCGGAAAAATCCACAATAGCAATGCTCTGAGTAACATGGTGAGACTGAAAAAAATGTTCGAAGTAAGATCCACACTCATATTATAGGCAGAACCGGAAGTAATTAGCATGCTTTGGATTGATTGACTGCATGCGTCTAACAAGAATCAGATTTAACACATCAATGCATTAAGGGGGGGGGGGGGGGGGTTGGGGTTTGGTGCATTAGCAATTATAAATCAGAATGATGATTAAGAAGTTCTTTCAAAAATTCTGACGCCTTGCACTGTGCAATCAATCTATAACCATGGTGGCCAGCACAGTTCAACAACGTGTATGAATCCCCTAGCGATTTCAAAGAAAAAATAAACAAACAAACAGTAGTAATCTCTAATTTATAAGTAGAAAAATTCAGTCTGTACGACTAGTCAAATAATAAATAATTCTGAAGCATGCAGCACATCCCGAATGAAATGATTTCTCTGCGCCATTGTAAGGTTCAAAACTCAAGCGTTGAGTTGACCAGAATTTTAAGCCTCGGAAAATCCCGGCGGCATCGACAGGGATTGAACCAAGCTGGGGTGAGAGGAAATCACGCTTACCACTACACCACCGACGCCGCTTGAGTAGAGTAATCCGTAGATTACATACTGGCTACTGACATGTATCTACTTTAACGTTCTTATTCTAATTGCTTAAGGAAAACTATTTGGGAGTGAATAGTGCTCCAATCAGAGTTCAGAACATAAAAAGCATGACAATTACCATTGCCGGTCACGCCCATCAAAGAATCTGCTACGATGATGTGACCATAGTAATTCAAGACCAACAATTGAAATGGCCTTAACTCCATTTTGTAAACAAACCTTGTAAGGCCATTTTCTCGTGAACCGAAGTCCGCAAAGGCAAACCAACATAATGAACAGGTAGGGAAAATTCTCCTAAGGCCATTTCAGTTGTTGGTCTTGAATTGTTTTTTTTTTAGAAGCCTGGGAGTAAACCCACGATCTCAGTCAGCAGAAACCGAGCTCCTCAACTGAAATTTTAGGACCTTACTTGGTATAGTTTTTAAGAATACTGATTTAACTATAATATAAAGAAATAGAAGATTAAATAATAAAAGAAAGAAGGATGTTACATACGGATTCATGCGAATGAAGTTTAAATGATAAAAGTAGAAAAAAGAACAATCTCACCAAATCAGTCTGAGTGAACTCGTAGCAAGCAGCCCTGTCACGTTTGGCGTAGCAGTCTGGTGTACAACTTGTTTGAAATGTCCCGAATGAAGTGATCCTCCAGCTTGGAATACAGGATAATCGGATGTGGTCGATTGCTCCAAATGTCACGCTCAACGCTGCAACTTGCACCTCGACGTGAACTCGCAGAGCGATGGAACGTCACGAATCCGATGGAGGTTCCTCCTCACTTTCGAAACCACTTGTCAACGGCAAGCCGCAGGGACGAAGAGCCAGCATGCCTGACGCATGAACTCGTAAGAATTTCACTCTCTTGAAACTTTCAATCGTTAAATTAGCTCAGTAGTTTTGATCAGATCAGCAACAAAAAATGTATGTGAAAAAAAACCGAAGATAAAATGAACGTCATTTCATTCAAACGCACAGCCTACTCCCATTGCAAGGTTCAAACACAAGCAGAGAAAAACAGCTCATGTTCAAGTCTAGCTTAAAAACATGTAGGTGTTATCCGGATTAATTATGATAATTGAAATTTTATTTAATCATAAGCACTTTGCCGCGGCGCTAGTGGTGTAGTGGTAAGCTTGACTGTCTCTCACCCCACAGGGCCTGGGTTCAAACCCAGTCGACGCCGTCGGGATTTTCTGAGGCATAAAATCTCTGATTACGCATTCCGCCGTTGGTCCCCGGTCCATGAGTTGATGGGTCGATAGGTAAGGTCCAGGTGTGGGAGCTGCCTTCCTGACGTCGGTAGTTTTGGTACTCAGTGCGGAAAACAAGATCGACGGAAAACACAATCAAGGAAAAAACAATCAGCATTTCAAGACCAACAATTGAAATGACCTTAACTCCATTTTGTAAACAAACCTTGTAAGGCCATTTTCTCGCGAACCGAAACCTCGATTCGTAAACCTAAACCACAATCGGGTAGAGGAGAATTTCCCCTACCTGTTCATTATGTTGGTTTGCCTTTGCGGACTTCGGTTCGCGGGAAAATGGCCTTACAAGGTTTGTTTACAAAATGGAGTTGGGGCCATTTCAATTGTTGGTCTTGATTTGAAAATTTGGGTTCAGAAAACCTTATGTCAAGAACAACATGTGAAAAGGGACAAAGGGCATACAAGCCTTTTGTAAACAAACATTCTTATGCCCTTTTCTCGCCACCCATATGACACCAACGCAAACCATCAACATCGCCGGATAGGAGAAGGTTTCTCCTTCCCGATGATGTTGTTAGTTTGCGTGGGCGACCCTCGATTGGCGAGAAGAGGGCCTACAAAGGTATGTTTACAAAACCTTGTATGCCCTTTTCACATATGGCTCTTGATGTATTTCCGTGATAACTTTCAAATTTCTGAATCTGTTCATTTCTATCACGTAGGAATTTTCCTTGAGGTTTTTTTTTTTCAACAACGTCATTTA